TATTAGGTTTGAACGCTCATGGCACATTGACACCATGTGTGAGAAAACCCCTTCCCATTCCTAAGTAGTTTGACCCAAAAAAAATTATATCTATATTTTAAACAACTTGTTGAACATCATGAAAAAGAAACTAAGTAATATTGGAAGAGGAATACGGTGAGGCTCCATTTGTGGAAGAATTTTTTCACTATTAATTGGTACTTGAATTTTAACCAATGTACATGAACTTCTAGTTTATACCAATTTGAAGACTTTTTCTCTTTTTGATGACATATATGTGGGGGCGTAGTTTGCCAAAATAGTAGTTTTATCCATTGATCATTTTGCTGCTCTGCCTTATTAGTAGCTTCATTGGGTTTTCACTTTTTTTTTTTTTTTTTTGTCATTATTAATTATTGGACTCCTTCCTCTGTAAGGAGTTCGCCACTTTGCTTTAGAAGGGCCCCCCACACTGATTTCTATCTATACCTAGCCTTTTGTGTGAGATATATGTAAATAGATTTTCTATTTAAATCCCGCTATTCTCTTTATTCACCCCAATACTTAAATTACTAAGCTGTAAGTTTTATTATTGTGTAAAAAGATAAAAAGATTCATCCAACTTAATACTTAACCCTAGTACATCTATACACACACCCCACTACTCTTCATATTCAGTTTGAGAAAAATACAAACTTTTATACATCATATTGTCAGATTACCCTTCTCTTTTAAAGATGTAGAATGTTGAGGAGCCTACCTCTTTAAAAGCTGCGTGAGAGCTGATGAAAAGGCTTGTTGATTACTTGGCTGTAATGATCTCATTCTCCTCCCTTTGTTGATTGCTTGGCTGATGGAAAGGCTTATTGATTGCTTGATTATTTTAATATTTTATTTAAAAATTTATATTTACTTGACTTCTTATATGCTCAAAAGTAAACAGTAGATGATTACTGTACCTTCCGTTGGGTAAAAAATAAAATAAGATGTTGTGGTCATTGGATTTCACTGTCATTAGAAAACGAAACCAAACAAACTACAATTTACCATATGATCTAATCACATGATAAAAACAGCCTTGTGAAAATATTGATTTAAGTATTGGAGTGAAGAAAGAAAAGTGTGGGGTTTAAATAGAAAAACTCTTTTATTTTTTATTTTTTCAGCTGGGTTTGGGAAGATAGTGGGGTTTTCTTAGAAATTGTGAAAATTTAAATTAGAAGTTGAGGTGAACAAAGAGAAGTGTGGAGTTTAAATAGAAAACCTCTATGTAAAAATCAAGGATGATATTGATTCATCTTCGAGCATAAAAATTAAGACAATATTGATTTGAAAATTGAAGAATTGCGATAAAATTTTATGATTTATTTTTAGTCTATTTAAATTCTATCAAATATATATTTTAAGTAGGGAAATTTGCACAAATACCACATGAACTTTCAGGCATGTGCGTCATTACCACCTGAACTTTTAATTTTAATTTTTAACCACCTGAACTTTGTAAAGTGTTGCAATCCACCACCTATGTCTAACTCCGTTCAAATTTCCATTAAGTTAAGGATATTTTTGTCAATTAACTATAACAAAGAATAATTATATTTAAAAAAACAGAATTAAAAATACAAAAAAATAAAGCTAACCTTCAGATCTCTTTCTCTTCTCCCTACTCCATCGTCTTTATTCCACCAAATATCATATCAGATTGCAATGGTCCATTGATTTTTTTGCCTTCCTGCATTCATTTCATGGCTTGCACTATTTGTCCAAAGGCTTGTCCTTCATTTCAATGGAAGTTTGCATATCGAAAAAAAAATTCAGACTACAATTACTCTCTCTCACCCTCAATCCAACAAATTCAAAAAATTTAACATCAAAGCTATAATTTAAATTTTGTAATTTCATCATGGGTTTTGGGAAGGAATCAATTGCGTTCCTTCCTAGTATATATAAATATCCCAAAAAGGTACTAAACATCTGCAATTGACAAACAAGTTCTAGGCCTAAATTCAAGTACCAAAACACAAGTGCAGTCCTTATACAGGACATGCCTATAATAAACTCCAAATTAATTAGAAAACAAAAATATAACCAAGCAATTAAGTCCTCTATGATCTCTAAATCTTTGTCTTCTTAGCAGGAGACTTGAGCCTAAATTTCATTGTTGTGTTGGTTGTCACAGAAGAAACGGGTTGTGATTCCATTGGCAAGCTAGAGCTTGGTTGGTATGTTGATTTATTTGCTAAATTTGGTTGAATTGTTTGTTCACTAATAGTGCTTGGTTGGCCTCTTGATGCACTTGGTCTTTTTACCTACAAATAAATTCACTTGGTTGGCCTCTTGACAGCATAAAATATAAACGTGAAAATTTGACATATTCGGCATAGCCCCAGAGACACTTGATGCAAATCTAATTGTTAAGCAAAATATCATAATAGACAAAGCAAACTACAAGATTAAACATCAATAAAAAAATTTAAAGTTATAGTAAAGTTAAACAATCAAGAAATTCATAAAAACGCATAAATTTAGAACCACTATTGACCATAAAATGTTAAAAACTCAAACGTATCAATCACCACACACTTACCAAATAATTAGTGACAATCTAAAAAGTATAAATACGTAATTGTCAAAGCTTATCGTAATTTGGTGGCTCCGAGCGTATCTGAAGTTATTGTCCTTATCAGTTACTTCAGTCATCAGTCTGCTACTCAATTTCAACAACCCACACAAGATATGCCAATAGACAAATATGAATATAGAGTATGGTGTGTGTGCAGAGGGTGGGTTTTGGGAAGGTAGGTTTTTTTGTAGTGGAGCGAATTGATGCTGGAAAAGTTGGAAAAGTTGGAAAAGTAGGAGTAGGGGTAGGGTGAAGGCGCTGTAATTAGGTTAACTTTTTTTTAAAATCTGTTTTTTTTATATATAATTATTCTTTGTTATAGTTAATTGATAAAAATACTAAAATCTGTTTTTTTTTTATATAATTATTCTTTGTTATAGTTAATTGATAAAAATACCCTTAAACTTAATGAAAATTTTAACGGAGTTAGACATAGATGGTGGATTGCAACACTTTACAAAGTTTAGGTGGTTAAAAATAAAATTAAAAGTTCAAGTGGTAATGACGCACATGCCTGAAAGTTCAAGTGGTATTTATGCAAATTTCCCTTTTAAGTAAGAATTTCTCTTAGACCCCCTGAGGTTTGGCATAATTACAGTCAGACTTCACACGTTTGATTTATTCCATTCACACCCCTTATATTACATATTTAATAAAAATAAATATATTGCTTATCGAGTCAGATTCGAGAATGAAGATAACAATACCATCTCTAGCCCGTCCTCAATAAAAGAATTTTAAAATTCAAGGATCTCCATACCTACCCCCGATTTTTCTCCAGAAATCTTCTCCTGTTGGAGTTGGAGAACCGACAAGGACCCAACCTGACGGGAAGTAACAAAAACACTAACAAATGTATGAAATGATGCGGAGACTAAACTTTAGGTATGAAAGTGAGATGAAACAACATTTGGTTATAAAAGGCTGAAAATTGGTAATATTAAGTGTAATAAAGTGAAATTTACTATTTCTGTAAAACTAAAAAAATTACCAAACAAGTTTCTTATTTTTCAGTTTTTAAAAATGAAAATTGAAAACAAATTGAAATGATCGTCAAACCCACACGTTAATCACACATCATATGCAGTCGCGACAAGAAACAGTCAGAATTCATTCTCATAGTTACGAAATGCTGCTTAATTAGCCCGTTTGGAAAAATAAGCTTCATAGATTTCTAATAAGAGTCCCGGATCTCTCTCCTTCAGCTCCGTGTACTCATCTAGGGAAGCAAGCTTGTCCATGCTGGCTGTGATCAGCGTCAAGGCTGCATCGATGATCGGCTTAAAGTTATGCTGGTGCGCAAAGGTGTAGGTCGAAAGTGAATTGTCCAAGTTGAGGTTGGACACCAAGAACTTCTGGCAGAAGTCTTTGAGATGCTGCACCTGGTATTTTTCAGACATTACAAGGAGCTCACAGGCCAATTTCTGGTCGAGGCATACCTCAGCTGTGTAGAGGTAGTTGACGAAGGCGCGAAGGGCGTCGTAGGAGACATCGCCAATCTTGATGGTGCCACTCAGGCTTTCTTTCATCTCATTATCAAGCATGGCTCTCAACACTGGAGAACGGTTCGCCTGATCCAGTGAACGCCAAAATACATAATATTTAAGAGGAATTCAAAGAGTTCATTGAACAAAAACCAGCTAGAATAACTCTGGCCAAATTATTCCAATACTAGCCACAGCTAGTAGCTAGCCATGAGAGAGAGAAAATGACTCTGGCCAAATTATTCCAATACTAGCCACAGCTAGTAGCTAGCCATGAGAGAGAGAAAATGACTCTGGCCAAATTATTCCAAAACTACAATTTCTGTATAGCCAAATCCTTTTTAAATTCAAAAAATAATTAAATATTGAAGATTAACATAAAAAACCCCTTTAGCCATTTCAAGTCAAATTTAGTTAAGTTTTGCCCAACTGTGCCTGGAGTTTCTTTGGAGCAAATGATCGAACCGCTGGTGGGCAACAACAGAGGGGCGGGCCAGGTTACAGTTTGAACAAAAATTAAGTGATCAAGTAAAGTAGCAGCAAGTTAGCGAAATGGGTACTGACCAAAATGGCCTTATGGGCCGGAACGGGTACGGGGTACTCGTCGTCGTCGTCGGCAAACAGAACGACGTCGGAAAAGGAAGCCGGCTGGGGCATCGTGAGAAAAGCGAGCTTGGCGCTGAGGCCCTCTTTGCACTGCTCGACCTTGGCCTCGAGGTCCTGAAATTTGGAGTTCATGGCCTGGCAAGACATGCAGCTCCTCATGTTGGGGTACTCAAAGATAAAATCAACAAGAGAAGAAATTTAAAGCAAATGTAATTTCAATTTTCATGCAATGATCATTGTGCTGCCTGCCCTGCCTTATATGTTAGTAGCTAGCTAGCTTCATTGGGCTCTTTCACTTTTCTTTTCCTTTGGAAGGGTCCCGCCACTACGCTTCAATATCATTTGTATATAAATAAATAATAATAATAAAGATAATATTGATTGATTTTAAAATTTAAAGATTAAAACGACACTTTTAAAAAATTGTAAAAAAATTATTTGCAATAACATTTCATATTTTTATTTTTAGTTTGCTAGAATTTTAACCAGTGTACATGAACTTGTAGTTTATCCCAAGTTGAAGTTCTCTTTTTGTCGATAATAATTTTTTTTTAAAGGACTGCAAACAATAGGATGGTCAAATGCAAAACTTTCTTGAAGTACATCAAATGCACACAATAGGATCGATGGTCAAATGTGCACAGTTTAACACACATGCCATGATATTGAAATTCTTGTTTTCATTACCCTTTCCAGCAAGTTCCGAAATGCGCACACACAGGGCATGATGGCCTTTCCAGCACTGCATTACATTAGCTGTTGAACAACTTTCACATAGAATAGTGCCTATCTGCACACAGATCATTAACTTGATGACAAATTATGCCACCAGATACAGTCCAGAGTAACAAAAGCTAGCTCCAATTATGCCACCGGTAAGAATAAGAAAGGCTCCAAAATGCTCATTTCAAAACAAATACTACATGCATCCAATTTATGTTCCATGTGCTACCACAAAATTTACCACCTGACATTTGTATATTTTTTAGTTCATCTATACTAAATATACAGAGAAAACGTACACTGATCGAAAGCTCAGGTCAGGGTAACAGGAAATCCCTCACTAGACTATGTCTTCAGGGAAGAATCTTTCTGGGCAGCAGTATTGACCTGTTTGGAGAGATAAGCTTCATATATTTCGACTACGAGTCGTGGATCTTTCTCCACTAGCTCCACGTACTCCTCCCGGGTAGTAAGCTTGTCCATGTTGTCTGTGATCAATGTCAAGGCTGCATCGATGATATGCTTGGCATTGTGCTGGTGCGCAAAGGTGTAGTTCATAACTGAATTGTCCCAGTTCAGCTTGGACACCAAGAACTTTTCACAATAGTCCTTGAGATGCTGCACCTGGTATTTTTCAGCCAGTATTAGCAGGTCGCAGGCCATGTCCTCATCAAGGCATACCTCAGCTGTGTACAGGTAGTTGACAAAGGCGCGAAGGGCATCGTAGGACACATCGCCAATCTTAATGGTGCCACTCAGGCTTTCTTCCATCTCATTCTGAAGCATGGCTCTGAACACAGGAGAACGGCTCACCTGGATAAGTGTCAAAATGTTTAAAGAAATTCAGGGATGAACCAAAAAGGGACATATATATTTCCAAGGAACACGTGATCTAATCCAAATTGAAAGTCTTTCAACATGAACAATAACAACAACAAACACAAAACGAAGACCAATGCGCATAGATTCATAGCACAGTATATATAATCAATCAAGTTTTGCCTAATACCTAATGAAAATAGTCAAACCCAAATTTACGCATTCATGAAAAACCCAAAATTGATCAAAGATTCAAAATACTTGAACTACTGAAAAGAAAAAAATTTCTCAGGAGAAACAAAATAGTAAAAGGCAGGAACTTGAATGTACATTTCTAACAAATCACACACAGAAGACACACAAGTTGACAATCATATTAAGACAATACCCTGCCAAAAGAGCCATATATCATTCTCTTCTCAAGCTAACCATTTTCCAGCTCTATGTAAACATGCCACATTTGATTCAGACAATAAACCAAACACAAGGTGCGCAAACTAAAAGGAACAAAACCCACAAACACACCAAGAATTTACAACAAAACGTGGCCAATCAATCAACTTGGGGAAATGGGTACTGACCAAAACGGCCTTATGGGCCGGAACGGGTACAGGGGGCCCGTCGGAGGCATCCTCGGAGGCAATCAAAACGACGTCGGAGAAGGAAGCGGGGTGAGACCTAGCGCTGGGAGTTGGGGACCAGAACTTGAGGAAGGCGACCTTGGCCTTGAGTTCGTCGATCTCGCGCTTCAGCTCCTCTTCGGTCTCGTTGGCCTCCTCGTAGCACTCCTTGCACGTGCCGGCGGCATCTTCTTCGTAGAGATCCTGGCACGATATGCACTTCATCTGATCGCAAAACTGATACACAGCACTTCAGCTCCTCTGCTCGCTTTTCCTACTCAAGTGAAAGTGAGGAATCGAACAAAGCTCCGGTGGTGCTGATATGGCTTTGACAGCTATTGACTCTTTCGAGGAATGTGTGTATTAGTCTATAATAGCTTAAACATAAAAAAGGTGACAATTTAGCTACCATGTTTAAACTTGATAGATGAAAATGACTCTCAATTTGACACAATAATGATTAACAATGGGGCAATGGGGGTGGGTCGGTATGCTATTTCCATCCCTGCTTTAATACACGCAATACTCAATTCGGAATTCTTCTTGGCCAAAAATATATATATATATATATATGAACCGAAAAAGGATTATGAGCACAACATATTGAACACCATACCCGAAAATATCTCCAAACTCGTTCATATATTCAATTTTTATCCTCCACACCCAACCCATTAGAAATAAAACTGATGAAAATTCTAGCTTCAGAATTCATTTTCAGATATGAGAAATAGAGTTATGGGGACGGATTTGGTGGAATGAAGTGCAATTTTAAGAGAAATTATACAATAATATTGTAGTACCAGCTGACATTGCTTAATGATCCTACGGTCCAATAAAATTCGGACTTGTGTGCAACTTTATACACATCAGCAACCAACTTAATGCACTGCTGTTAACCACCATTGTTGCAAACCAGAAATACTCGACACTACTTTCTCTGGGGCTGCGCCACCTGAGAGTGGCGACGTCTCTATGGTGGCTTTAACCGATGCCCAAACTCCTCGTTGCCCATCGCAAACTCACCGCCAAAAACAGAAAAAAATAACCATCGCAGACTTGGGAGTTTATCAAGTCACTTGCCCTATTCCTTATCGTTTTTATTTTTTTTCCATATTCTCCCATGAGCGGTGGCTGACAAATTAAAAAACAACAGTGGTGTTGACTACAATTAAATCTTGCGATTGCATATTTCCCATGAAAATTGACGGCTTGTTGGTGGTGAGGTACCCAACCAACCCCTTGTGCCTCTCACTGGCCATGAATCAGTGCCTGAAGCTTATTTATTTGGGGTTATGACCCAAAGTCAATTAATAAAATTGCACACAAATTTGTCGATCTAAGACTGAAGTACTGAAGCAATTATGATCTAAAGCCACCGTCGGATGACTTCAAGATTTTGGCAAGGCCATCACAGAGTCTTAAGGTTGGTAATTAATCTCTCTCTCTGGGTTTTTTTTTTTTTTTTCCGGTCAGATAACCTGTCTGTTTGGTTAACGTTAATGCTAACGACGATCTTGTTGAAGTGTATAAGTTGTACACATGTCCGAATTTTATTGGATCGTAGTACCAATCAACAATGCCAACTGGTTGTATAATTTCTCCAATTTTAGATCTTGTATTAACGGAGCTTACATCGATGTGACTATTGACATGAATTAATACTCAGATATAGGAAACGACAAGTCGCTGTGATGACCAACCAACGTCGTATACTGATTATTTATTATTATTATTATAACAAATAATTAATTTAATTAGAAAACCGCCCGTGTCGCAGTTAGTTCCTTCTCCGTCTGTCAAAGTTTAGAAATTCTGAGATAAGAGTGTAGTCTCTTATTCTACTGAACCAGGTCTCTCACAAGTCACAACAAACAGCCCCCGCTCCTCAGATTCTAGGGTTTCGATTCTCTTTTGGAGCCCAAATTGTTCTATCAGGTCAGCTCTGTTCTCTCTCTCTCTCTCTCTCTCTCTCTCTCATGCTTTCTTTTAATCTTTAAGTTATGTTTAAATTTTGTTTATTTTGTCATCTATTTGGTTGCCGAGAAAATGCATGAACAGAAAATAATTCCAAGTCGTAATTTTAAAGTTCTCAGTGTGTTCGACCTAGGCATCATATTACGTCTCAAAAAGGTGTCAAAAGATTTGGTCTTGGGTTTAGCTTAGCCGAATTTTACATTTCCCGAAGATACCCAAAGCAACTGAAAGCCTAAGACTTTGGAGTTTCATATTTTCTCGGCTACCCAACAGTAGGGGATTTTACTATGACGGCTTTGGCTCTGAATGTTTCCTGGTTTATTTTGTTGGTTTTCTGAAATTTTCTAAGTGCTAAAGATGTTGGAATCTAGGTGGCTGCTGTGAAACCCTAGTTTTTCAAACTGTGAAGTTTGAGAAATTTAGGGTTCTGTTTTGTAATGGAACTTGAAGGAGGAAAAAGCAATGGTGGTAGTACGGAGTGCACTGAGAAAGTTCAATCCTTGACGAGTGAAGCCAATGGTGGTAGTACGGAGTGCACTGAGAAAGTTCAATCCCGGAAGAGTGAAGCCAATGGTGGTAGTACGGAGTGCACTGAGAAAGTTCAATCCTGGAAGAGTGAAGCCAATGATGGTAGTACGGAATGCACTGACAAAGCTCAATGCTTGAAGAGTGAAGCCAATGGATTTGAATTTAGGGTGTGTAAGAACTTTGCCAAAGGCCGCTCAGATGCCAGTGAGGTTGTTCGGACTTACAAGAGGCGGAGGCGTGCAGGGTCAAGTTGGGATAGCAGGTCACAAGAATATGGGGGAGCTGATGTGGAATCTTCGAGTCAATTGGCAGACCAGGTGCTTACTCTAGCTCTCTTCCTCTCTGCCAAAATTTGTGTTGACAAAAACCATATTTTTTATTTAATTAGCCAATTTGGAAAGCAGGACTGCAATATTCTAGTATGTTGGCTGATGTCCCACTGTTTCGAGTTGAATTTTAACGGAATTACACCTGAGCAATGGTAAGCTGTTTTTAATATAAACGGAAGAATCAGCTTATAAATGATACCAGTAATAACAAGGCTCATGAATTTTGGATCCATAGTGAATTTAAAATTTCGTTTATAACTCAGAACAATGAAAATTTGGTTGGCAATATAAACAAATAAACGTAACCATCAGTACTCTTCTCATTAGTGCATTTGAGAACTCATTAGGCTATTTAGGGGGATTTGTTAGAACGACAGGAGGAATATGAAGGAGGTTTATTTTACAGGGATAATTTTGAAAGGGAATTGATTGGTTGCAAATTAAAATTTTGTGCCTTGTTAAGGGGTTTATTTGACCTGAAGCTTTCAAAGTTGTGATTAGAAACTAGAACAATTATGAGCATTTTGCCCTGACAAAAAAAAAACCTTGTTTGTATGATTATTCCTTCCTGATCCTTATTGGCTCAACAAGTACCAGAACCATCTATTACATATGAATTAATATATTAGAAAATGAATGATTGAATGCTATAAGCTCCATTGATGGAATTTCTGTTGAACCAATAACTACAGTAGTTGATACTGCTTATCAAAATGATGATGAGCTCCGGTTTAGTTGTTCAGATATTGGTACTTTAAATGTGGCTAATTTGGCTATGATGAGCTACAAATGTATTGTAATCTACATTGTTATTGAGAAAGAGATATAGATAATTTGCGGGTTCCATCCCTTCAATCTTCAAATTTTTCTATCCAGTGTACTTTTTGGTCCTTGTTTTTATCAATCTATGTTTGATTTTTTGCAGCGTCTAAAGGAACCTGTGGGCACAGCTATACAGAATAACTCTTGTGAGCAAGTCCATCTTCAAACGAATAGTTCAGATGCTTGCTCAGATAGGCACTGGAGAAATGCTGTACTGGATAGCATGTATCAGTCATTAGGTGATGATGAAGGTGGTGTACAAGTGTGCATCCGAGAAGCAATTGTACATTTTCGAAACATTGATCATACAACAAGAGTTAAGGTTTGTATTTATTGGCTTATAGCCAAAGTGTTCTGCTGATGATAGTTGATTTACAGGCTTATAGCCATTCCTTTGTATTTATTGGTTCAATTTGATTTTTAAATTTTCTGTTATCATTTTCATTTTGTGGTTGTTTTGCAGGAATCTGGTGATCATGATGCAGATAGGCATCAATGTTTTTTTCCAACACGGTCTATCTTGAATGGACCTCATAGTGCAGCCAATGGGCATGCTGGTGTTATATTGAATGGATCTTCAAATAAAACAAACTATCCTACAGTTACTGCAATGTGTCAGCGTGCTTTTTTTAATGTTTTAGTTTCAGAAAATTTTGCTTCATTATGCAAACTGCTGTTGGAAAATTTTCAAGGAATCAAGGCTGACAGCATTTTTGACCTTAATCTCATAAACTCAAGGATGAAAAAGGGAGATTATGAACATTCGCCTATGCTATTCTCACATGATATGCAACAGGCAAGTTGGGTAGTCTTATGTTAAGTGTAGTGGTCCTGATATCTATTTTTAATAGTAATTAATTGGATGTCTTGATTTTGCTTAGTATCATGGTGTGGATGTGATAACTATGTAATGTTAAGTTTAAATGTTTCAAGTATTGCGTTAATGATTCCAAAGCATGTTTGTGAACTTCGGAAAACTTGAAAAGTAAATCTACTTCATATGGTTATCATATTGGAATTGATTATGATATTTATTGTCAGAATGCTCTCATTAACTGGCTTCAGTTGAAGGTATTGTTTCAATCATTAAAGTCTTAAAGTCTGAAATGTCTTATCATATTCTACCTTATTTGTTTTAGATACTGATAGATGTGTGGTTCAAGTTCCCTGGCTAATCTGATTGCATTGTTTGACATTGGCTAGTTGACATATGTATTACAAGGAATTCTAGACTGGGGCCATAATTATAGTCATGTAAAATACCTTGAAGGTGATCTGTTTTTTTGTCTCATTTTATAATATTCCAAACCTGAATATTTTCCAGATATGGAGAAAGCTTAAAGGGATTGGTACTAACTTGATTTCTCTTGCAAAAAGCCTCTCGGACATGTCAAGGAGTTCTTACAAAGAACAGGTTAGATGATTCAGTTGAAGCGATGTCTGGTCCAAGTCCCTGAGGATTTAGTTTAATGAAATCTATTGGTTCTAGGATATGTTCACTCTGTGGATAGGGTTATAAGCTTGATCTCACAACAAATTATCTTATCTGTCATCCCAGGTGGGAGGTTCAGTCCGAAATACATTTGAAGGTGGAAAAGATGAGGTACAAGAGTTTTCTAGTTTTAACATAGAACTGTGTTTAATTGAATTGCAGACGTCTGGTGAAATGCGTGATTGTATGTGCATTTGGTACCTTGGAAATATATAAATTCAGGAATTTTTTTCTTCAGAAAACTTCTAATGTTCTATTAAAGTTCTACTAATGAATGCATAAAACTCTTTGTGAATATCTAGCATTCTATAGTCTGGAAGAAAAATACTCTAAAAGTAGTTGTTTCTTTCATTTTTTTTTTCAACTAATGCATATCTGCCTTTTGCATTCTTGTCACTTCTACGGATTTAGCCTGTCTGCATATTGGAATTTTGATGTCATTTTGAAGATTGAAAAATGGTGAATTGTCTAATTATTATAATGAGATGGAGTCACCTGACAGTGAGAATTCTGAAATCAATTTTGGTGGTTTGGGTCATTATCAATCTAATTAATGTCCGGCCAAAAAAATATATAACTAAATGCATTTCATTTATCACGCTTGCGATTCTATTTTAAGGAATTGATCAGCTGGTTTAAAGGGGTACTAACTTGTGTCACTTTTAAACAGTTCTACGCCTGCGAATCTGACTTTCACACTAAACTGGAGCAAACAGAGGACTGTGCTGTGCACAGTGTATACACTTGCATGCATTGTGGAGGCAAGGCAGATGGGAAGGATTGTCTAGTATGTGATTCATGTGAGGACATGTACCATATATCCTGCATTCAGCCTGCTGTCAAAGAGATTCCTCTAAAAAGTTGGTATTGTTTGAGTTGCACTGCTAGTGGTGTTCGATCATCCCATGAGAACTGTGTTGTGTGTGAGAAGTTGAATGTGCCCAAGACTCGAGTTGATGGAGTTGGAGGTGAAAGTGTTTCTACAGATGAAGAAACAGTCAATGAGATGGGAGAGAATTCAAATTTTAATACAAATGATGGAATCCAACGTTTGGAAGAGAGCAAAGACTTGAACATCTGCAAAACTTGTGGAATGGAGGTAGAAAAAAGTGACAAGTTGAAGATATGTGGTCATTCATACTGCCCCAAGAAATACTACCATGAGAGGTGTCTGACAACTAAGGAGTTAAAATCATATGGTCCCTGTTGGTACTGCTATTCTTGTCTGTGCAGAGCTTGTCTCACTGATCGAGACGATGATATAATTGTTCTTTGTGATGGCTGTGATCATGGGTACCACATCTATTGCATGGACCCGCCACGCATTGGCATTCCAAGCGGGAAATGGTTTTGCAGAAAATGTCGTGCAGCAATTCAGGTCATACGCAGGACAAGAAAGGCTTATGATAAGAATGAAAAGAAACAGAAAAAGAACGGTGAAGGATCAAGGAAGTTGAATGAAAAACGAGCTGACAGGGAATCAGGACAAGGTAGAGGGGGAATGGAGTTGCTTGTATATGCAGTCAAGACTCTAGATCATGAAGAAGATATGATGAGTAAAAAAGAATGAGACAGTTTTCAGGAATGACGTGTTCTGTGAGTAACGATTTTGATTTACTAGGCATGTCGCCCAAGGCTGAGAATTCTGCTTGTCTGCGTTGTTTAGGGGCGATATTTTCGTAGGTTGTAAACTCTGCTAGATTATGCTGACTTATGGATACTTGACTTAGCAAAAGACATGATTCTAAAGGCTGTATATGTAGTTTGGTCCTTGCTAAAGTGCACAATTTGAGAAAGCGAGACTGAAGTTCGGTAAAATGACCATTTTAACAGCCACCGCTGAACATACTGGTGGTTTGTGTTTTGTAAGTACTTATTTTTGAAGGGTATCAGAAAGTAACACTCCACACTTCTGTTGTAAAACGATGAAAGTTTATGAAGTTTAACTTATCAAAAAGTTTATATAGCCAGTTAAGTTTCTTACATCTTCCATGTCTTGTGTTTTTATCTTGTGGTACATGCTTTGATAAGGTTGTTTGTTGTTTTAGGTTTATTTACACCAATGCCCCCTGATACCACGGTCAAATCTCACTTTGCCTCTCCCATGGCTCACTTTCCCCCCTTGACCATGGTTTGCTGACCTACTTTGCTTCATGCCGTCAACTTCATCCAAAAGTCTGTTAACTATGATGATGTGGCATGGATTATTTTGTAATTTCATACACATGGATCATTATCCACCAATTGATGGGTGACATGGCAAGTAGAGCCCACCTTCACATAGATAAAAATATAATTAAAAATAAAAATAAAATAAAACATAAAAAAATTTAGATCCCAACCCCCCAATCCTCCCACCTGCGCCCATCCCCCCCTCCCTAAAAGGGGGTTACTTCTCTTCTATCGCCCAACCTCCATCCCACCCCCATCTCAGCCTCCCCTGCTCTCATCCCTAACCACAATCCCTCCTCCTCTCTTGACCAGCCACAAAAATAGCCAGCCTCCACCCACATCTCACAAACCCGTCCCAATCCTCAACCCCATCCATCCCCCACCCCCATCTCACAAACCCGCCGAAGATTTGACCGTAATTTCAAGGGGGTATTAGTGTAAATAAGCCAAATACGAATGAGAGATAAAAGTTTTTTTTTTTAGGACTTTTCCTACTGAGAGGGGTGATGACATACTTAACTCACATACATTACACGAATGCCAGGATTCGAATCCAGGACCCTTTCTGGAGGAGCAATTGCTCCAAATCACTATACTAGTGAATCCCTTGCGATTAAAGTAATTAAATGAGCAGGGATTAGTTCAAAATTGTTTTTACTAGGTGCGTGAGTTTTTGAGGCATAAAATTGTTGAAAAAGGTTTTACTGAGTGTGCTTAGAACTTTGGTGGGTCTAAACAGCCTGTAGTTTTTTGTTTTTTTTATAGGCTTTTTATCACAAATGGTCCTTGACGTTTACGAAATTATCACGAATGGTCCTTGAGGTTTTTTTGTGACACTAATAGTTCTTAACGTTTGAGCTTTTTATCACAAATGGTCCCTACCGTTAGAAATTATGTTAAGTGTGATGTAAGATAAGTGGAGCCCACATGTCTAATCACATCATAACATGTGGATTAAATAAATAAGAAATATTTTTTTAATGAAAATCCATTAAAAAAACATTTAGCCTCTCTCTCTCTCTCTCTCTCTCTCTCTCTCTCTCTCTCTCTCTCTCATTTACATCTGTTGGCATTGATTTTGGTGTGCTCATGTCCATTTGAACACAAGACTTTGATTCCAAAAGCTCCCCGACAACAGCATGGTTCTCTCTCTGAAGAATTATGCAAGGGAATTTAGTTTCAACGTTAAAACTATAGGCTTTACTTTATGTACATAAATAAAAACCTAAAAACTAGAAATAAGAACACATTAACAATCAGAAAGTAACTCACACCAAATTCGAACAACAGCATCTAAAATTGAATCAAGAAGTTCTGTGATTGGACATGTGGGCTTCACTTATCTTCCACATCATATACTTAACATAATTTCTAACGACATGGACCATTTGTGATAAAAAAAACTCAAACGTTAAGTACTATTAGTGTCACGAAAAAATGTCAAGGACCATTTGTGATAAAAAGCCTTTTTTTTAATGAGGTAATCTACATGTAGTTGAAGAATTTATCAGCATATATATATATATATTCTGTTGAGGGATCTCTCAAATAAGCTTATTTGAGGGACACCTTTGTAAGGCCCACTCCGTATTGTATTTCACTAATCCAAATCATCTATTTTGTAGATACTCATTCAAAGAGCATCTCTATAAAAAATCACTTGAATCCGATATCATTTGACCACTCAATTGAATTATTGAAATTTTAGTACTTTCTTGAAGCACCGTGTTCATTGATTTTGTAGGACACAATTGGATATCGAAACGGTTTCCGATTTGTCTAATTATTTGCAAGGATGATCTATGAATGTAGACTTGAAAAATAGATTATTTGGATCGTTAAAAAAAAATGTAGAGAATCCTAAAAAGTGTCCCTTAAATAAAATTATTTGAGGGATCCCTCAATAGAATTTTTTTTTTTTTCCCTTGTAGTGTCCCCTTAGGGTTTAGGCCCCCCAACTTTCTAGATCAATTTTCCACATTATTTCATCAGATTTTGTGTTAAGAATATCAAATCTGTGTGCTCCGCCTCCATTAGCTTCTTTTGGTTTAATATTTCATCTACTCTTTAATTGTAGAAGGTGAAGTTTTCCGAGCAAGGTGGAGACTACAATAAAAGGGCGTTGCAATGGGTGTTTATTCTTTTTTGCCAGTGCAGACATGGCCAGAGGAAAAATAAACGAACCAGCAAAAGTTGGAGAAAAGACGGCAAGAAGAAAACATTAACGATGTCAAAATAACTCTAAAACTTAGGTAGCTCATGTGTCTTGTTTCTAACCGTTGGATTATTGTGATAGTTCATATTAAACTAAATGCACGTAAATGCGTAATTGGTAAATGCAGAGATTCGGGATCCCTGCAGACATTCGTAATCTAGTTCATTACTTGAGTTGATCTGTATCAGGATCAGCTGGTGTTTGATCTCCTCAGCATTTGCACCCTAGGGTGAGACAAAGTTGATCTACATTATCTTGTAGATCAAAATGGTCAACACCGCGAAAGTCTAATGGCTTAAGCATATATAATTTTGTTTATTAGTCTCTTTCTTGCTTAAAAACAATCAAATTATTCGCAACACTGCAAGAAATGTAATTAATAATGTGATTAATAGATGTAGTCGTACAATTTTTATTTGAGTTTTTCATTTTTCTCATTAATCTCTTATGCACAACTCATGTTGCAATCATTATTTTTAATTTTTTTGTGCTTTTTTTGTTGTTGTTATTTTTAAATTTTTAAGAATGATCACCTTCAAGAACCAATACATCTTTTTCATTATCCATTCCAAATTAAATAACATCTTGTAATTACGACGTTTCATCTGTAAACACAATACACTTTAAAAACTGATCCAATTGTTTCAAATCCTTCAAAATCAAATCCAACTAACAGCTGCGCCGGCCGCCGTGCTCCTCCGAGCCTAGGCACTCGGCTTCGTTGTGAGCCATGGGTACGGGTTGACGGAGACAGCTGGGCCTGTCGTGTCGTGCGCGTGGAAAATGCAGTGGAACTTGTTCCCAGCTTCTGAGAGAGCTAGGATCAAGGCAAGGCAAGGGGTAGGAACAATTGTATTGATTGAGGTAGATGTGGTTGATTCCACATCGGGAGAGAGTGTGAAAAGAGATGGGTTGTGTCTTGGTGAATTTGTGCTAAAGGGTGGAAGCGTGATGCTTGGTTTTCTCAAAGACCCTGAGGGCACTTCCAGATGCATGAAAAATGATGGTTGGTTTTATACAGGGAATGTGGGAGTGATGCATCCAGATGGGTATTTGGAAATCAAGGATCGGTCCAAGGATGTGATTAATAGCGGAGGTGAAAAGGTGTGCAGTGCGGAGGTGGAGTCGGTGTTGTACTGGAACCCGGCGGTGAATGAGGCAGCCGTGGTGGCTAAGCCGGGCGGGGAGACGCCTTGTGCTTTCGTGTGCTTGAAGAGTGCAGTGTTCCTAGTGAGAAGGATATAATGGAGTTCTGTAGGGAAAGGTTGCCTCATTTCATGGCGCCAAAGACGGTGGTGTTCACGGAGGAGCTGCCCAAGACGTCCAATACAGAAGTTCGTGTTACGAGAAATTGCCACGTCGATGGGTTGAGTAGACTTAGACTTGATGAGCTGTGTTGTTTTATTTTTATTTTTTTCATAAGCAGCTGTGTTGTTAACAACTAAATATTTTTATGTTTCGCAATTGTTAAAAGTAAGCAATAAATTATATTTAATTTAATACGATACAACATTATATAGAAATCAGATTGTCCTGCCAGGGACTTTCACGCATGAACCAAAACTAAGCTGAAGTCCACTTTTCCTCTACTATATACACACAATTCAACAAGAGTTTTCATGTCTTCTCACCAACTGCATAACGGTTTCTTGTCGGGCTTAAGCCTGATGAATGGAGCTGTTTTCGCCTTTTCACCAGTTGCATCGCCGTATGTCTGTCATCTCGAGCCTCCTCAGAATCAGGCTGTACATACAGTTTAAATTCAACTTATATTCTTAACACAAAATGAAATATATAGATATTTGTACCATATATTTACATTCTGTGTGTAAATATTAGCTCAGTACGTCATGTTGCAAATGCCAGACTCCAATGGAGGTCAGAGCTCCAACACAATGCAATCACAAAACAGTGGAAGAAAAACTCATCTCTCTAATATACATAAAAACAATCATCCACTTCAATCCTACTTGAGGGAATAAAAACTATATTAACGACGAAGACGTTGCAGTTCTTAGTAGCTTAGCACATCATATTTCATGCCAGACTCTATTGAAGGCCAGTGGCCCAAACACAATGCGATCACAAAACGGTGGAAGAATCTTTGGGAACTACAGATTATAATATCTTGAAACCATACCTTAATGGCTAATGCACTGTCGAAGCTTTCAATGGCACTATCAGGCTCCCCAAAGTTTAACTGTGCTCTGCCAAGGGTAACCCACGCCTGAACACATCCAGTTTGTGAGAAATAATTAACTCTAATAAAAATGCTAATTGTACCAAGGATTATCACCAGAAAAAAAATATTCTAACAAGCATATAAATGAAACGTCCATCTTCTTCAAATTTTCCTAAAGGAAAGAGCACCATCATTACTTGGAACTCGCACATGAAAACCTATTGAGGTGAGAACCAGGTCAGAGAATACAATACTGACGTACCTCATCCCATGAAGGCTTGAACTCAGTGGCTCCTGCCAATTTTTATCCACATATAAGTACAACAAAGCACTCGCAATTGAACATGAGAAATCAAAATAAGCACAAACTAAACGTAAAAGAGAGCTCGAAAAGTAAATGTGTGTGAAGGTAATATAGTGAATGAGGACCACAGAGTGCAGAAAGCTAATCACAAAGTTTTGGAACCAGATAATGAACTTGGAAACAAAATATATCATGGTGGCCTGAGAAAAAAAAGAAGCCAATATCATGCATATGCACCTAGTAAGAACTAGGCACACATACATGCAAATACACACACACAAGCAAAACCCAAAGGGAGATAGAATTGAAACGCACGAGTTGCTGCCTTTACTGCATTCCATGCATCTCCAATTTCAAGCAAAACTTGTGCCTTCTGTTCATGTAAAACAGCATTTTCGGGCATCAACATAAGAGCGGCCTCCCATTTTCCCAATGCTTCACGGTACTTTCCACCCTTCAAAAATCGGTTGATGTGAGAAAGATTCCATTGTCATCCAGATCAGGAATCACAGACATTACTTTACATCATGATCATAATTATAATAACTCGTACATAACGAGAAGATTTCCCCCTTTTTTGGCTGTAGTACTATTTCTTAGAAGCAATTGGCATGAGTTCCTCCAGCAAGAAATTATTGACAAAAGTATAATATGGCACGCCACTTCCACAATATTATTATTATTATCTGCTAGTAAGAAGCTACTAACTAAAAAAATTCATGTTTTACCAATTGGGGCAGCTATAACTTTCCATTTCTCAGCTTTTTTTTCATAAATTTTTACTTCAACAACTGGGCAGCTACAAAACTTCACCACAATTCTAATAACCATAGTTCTTGGGGCAGCCTAAATTGGGCAACGGGGTTCCACCCATTATCACATCAAAAACAAATTAACACATTCAAAAACCCCATAATCTACCTTCAAATCAAAAGATAACAAACTTGGGTAATTCCGTTTTCTTTCTGCAATAAAATAATAGCAAAATCAAAAATCAAAACAACAAATTTAGGGTATTTATTACCTCGGCCAGCTTAGTTCCCTCGGCTTGAAAGGAATGGAAGAGTTTTGCAGCGTCTGAAGAATCTGATGGCTCGCTCTGAGCGTCGAGTGGCTCATGGTTACCTCAGCCAGCTTAGTTCCCTCGGCTTGAAAGGAATGGAAGAGTTTTGCAGCGTCTGAAGAATCTGATGGCTCGCTCTGAGCGTCGAGTGGCTCATGGTGTTCTTCCTGGTTGAGCTCTGTATGGTTTTGATTCTTATTGGGATCGTTTGCTGGGTCTTCTTGATTGTTGCGTTGGTCGTTTTGCTGCTCAAAAGGGAGATTTGGGTACTTTGATACGATGCCCAAAGGCCGCTTCTTGTTGTTCTTCCAAGCTATTTTCATCTCTCTCACTGGGACTAACAAATCAGTTGCAGGCTACAACTTGTTCATTGATTTCGGGTTCGCCCGACTCTAATAGACATGGTTTGAACCCGGACCCGAGATTAAACCCCAGTGTAGGATATAGGCCATCTTCTCCTTTTGGGTCTGCTAGGCCCTCATAAACACAAAGCCCTTTTTCTTTCTTGAAATAAAAGATAAAGCCTAAGAAATGGAAACAAACCCGCACCCCCAATCTAGTATGGTGATTTTTTTTTCCCCATTGTTAAAGAACTCCCGAGTTGGAATATCCCCCGTTGGTTAAGGCAGGGAGCTTATCTCCTTTCACTCAAGTTAGGAAACAAGATAAAATCATAATTACACAATATTTGTACAAAAAAGAAAGAAATATAATCCTGATAAACTAGGAAATAAATATCCGAATTAAGCTACAATCTCACTAACAATATGATGAATCGTACAACCAGATTTCATTAGCGTCAATAAAACTGACTTTATTGCTGTTATTTGACCAGTACTATTTCTTCATTTTTGTATAAATTTTTTTATAATACATTATACACATCTTTATTAACTTCTTTTTCTTTACTATTTGATTCAACAAAAAATTGACAAAGATTCTTGTTCTTTACAATTGGAAGTCTCAAGTTAAAGAAAAGATGCTTTTATTGTTATCTGTTAATTAGTTTTTTGTTATTGTGTTGTGTTTATTATAAAAATTAAAAAAATGCTTCCTAATAAACAACTTTATGGAAATCTCAAAAGACAAAAAAGAAAAAGAATAAAAAAAGCCCAATGCTTCAGTTAAAAATATTTTGTTAAAAAGACCAATGCTTCACTTAAAAATTTACCAAATGCATCTGAGTACTGTTTAATTTTTATAAAAATTGTGATTTTAGTGTCTAATTTGTTTGAATGGGCACACTTGCCCCGGGCCTTAGAAAACCCTGGACCGACTCTCGAGAGGAGAGAAACATCCAAGCAGTTTCCACAGGTGATCGAAAGTTTTAATGTGTCGCACAAATAGTTGAATGTAAAACCCTTTATTTTTTGGTAGAAAAATGTAACACCCTTTTGAACCAAAAGAATTAGATAAATATGGGTTATTTGGAGTGGACTTAAAACCCCAACTTCTATAAAGTGAGACTTTGGGCCTTTTGTCAGAGAGTAGAGAGAGAGAACAGAGAGAGCAAAGAGAGGAGAAAAATGGTGGCCATGCAGCAGAATTCAGGTGAGGGAGTGATTACAACCAATTATTGGTTCAAACCCAAGAAGGGTAGTGTTCTCCCAGCAAAGAGGAAGTTGTTGAAGACAATGGTTTTTAAATCCACGGTGAAATGGCTGCCTCTGTTTTCTGCTGTGCGCTTCCTCCTCCTCCACCACCCATGGGCAAAGTAGCAAATTCCAAGAAATGCAAGAAGATAGCATCACAGTGAATTGGAAAGGGTGACAAAGTCCAATCAAATCCATGCCTCTAAATATATATATTTTAGTTAATTTCCTATTCCATCCATCACAGTTTTTTTTTTTTTTTTGGGTCAAAATTCCATCCATCACAGTTTCAGTTTCTGTTTCTGTTTTCTTTCCTTGTTTTTGGTTGATTTGGAATTAGCTTCATCAGGATTGATGATCCATCAATTTGTCTGCTGTAGCTTTTAGTTTCATATTCAATGAATGATCAAGCACTTTGAATTTCTCTTGCTTTTGAATTTCCCAGTTTCTGGTGCCAACCAACTATATTTTTTACAAGTTTGGAGCTTTTAACAGTTACTTAGAAAAAGAAGAACAATTAAAGCATATGCAGAAGAACCGTAAGGTTGTACAAAGCAAACCACACAAACATGACAACAATTCTGGTTCAATAATTTATCATCTTAATTATAAAAAGAAAATGATTTTAGCAGCACTAATTGTATATGTTAGTAAAACGGGTCGGTATAAGGGTAACCCAGCCCCCTATGGCCACGTGGTGTTCTTTAATAGACTCGGCTCACAGTGATGGTATGAGCCATTAACAGATACCAAGGTATTTCAAGGCATTCATGGAATGCGTCCAATGCCAAAAACTAGGGCCTTATATGAAGATTTTGCTTTTTGAATGAGGGGGTGCCAAACGGTTTCCAAGGCACCCGTAGAAGTGGCAAAAGCTTGAATAGGAGCCTAGGATGAGAATTTTGCTTTTTTGGAAGAAGGATGCCAAGGTATTGGAAGGAATCCATGGAATGTGTCCAGAGTCAAAAATTAGATCCTTAGATGAAGATTTTGCTTTTTGGATGATGGGGTGCCAAACGGTTTCCAAGGCACCTGCGGAAGTGGCCAAAGCTTGAATAGGAGCCTTGGATGAGAATTTTGCTTTTTTGAATGAGGCGGTGGCAAAGAGTTTCTAAGGCACCCACCAACAAATAAATTTTATTAGTTTTTGTGGGGAGTGTTTCTAAGAGTATCTCCAACCGATGTGTTAAAAGTGTTACATAAACATTTAACGACTATAAATAACATATCACATCACTCCAACCGATGTGTCAAAGCTGACGTGGAATGAAGGCCGGAGGTTGAGATGTTATTTTTGACATCCCAAAAGCAAGATGTCAAATGAATATTTTAGAGTGCTGCTATTTCCACTCACCTGTCCTATTTTCCCACTCACCTTATGTTCCCACCCACCATCTAAATTTGAAAAAACAAAATCCTATCTTTCCACCCACCATTATTCCTAAAATACCCTTAGATTAATATTAAGAGTTAATTTCATATTTTTGCTTGTTTTTATGTTTAGGTGTAATAAAATATTCATAGAATTTATAAAACTCAATTAAAAAATAAGAAATTTTTAATACAAAAACCCATCCGCCCCAAGCAGCCACCCTTTCCCCGACCCCAATCCCTAGCCCCACCCCACTGCCTAGATTCATCCCCAAAAACCCAAGCCTCAACACTACGGCCACCGCGTCCACCACTAACGAAGAATTGTGGGCTCTGCGAGAAGAGAATGGGCAACTGAGAAACTACTGTGGATTCAATCAACTTCTTGACGCGAATCAGAGCTCTAAAGCAGGAATCTAAAATCAATTTCCTTTCAAGGTGGCCACAGGTATTTTAATTGTTTTAATTTTGCCCATATAATCATTAAAGCATTGGGCTTTGTTTAAAATACATGTTTGTTTTTTAGGAAGTGATTTGGAAGCAGCTGAAATTCTCATCAATGTTGACCATGAAGAACCAAGTTGGTGGGTTTGGGTAACGGAAGATATGATTCCTGGCAAAGTTGAGGAAATGAGTGGAATTGACAATTAAAGCTATGTTCTTGTCAGTGGGGGAGATGGCTGCCGTGCGGTAGAGGAAGAGGGAGAAGGGTGGGGTATGCGTGTTGTGAGGGAAGGGGTTTGATATTTGTTAATAATCTTTTTAGTTTTTTTTTTTTTATAATCATTTTCTTATGTTTTTTAATTGGTTTTAATATTTTTCCCTTAAGCCCATAGAAGTCATTTTATAAAAGGATAAATTGGTCTTTAAAATTTGTAAGATTAGGTGGGTGAGGAAATAGGACAGGTGAGTGGAAATAGCAGCACTCATATTTTATTTTATTTTTTTTCTTTTCTTTTTAATTAAAAATAAATCAACACTAAAATATAATAAATTAATAAATTAATTTGACATATCGGGTGAAGTGTAAAGCTATATAAACAGTCAAATTGCCACATCAGCCGTCAAATTTAAATTTGATGTTTGGTATTTGACATCTCCCAGAGATGCTCTAAAGGCACCTGAAAGAGAATTTTGCCTTTTTCAAAATTTCCATTTGGTTTTTGTGTAATGATCCAATGAGAGAGTGCAAAGGCACCCACTAGGTAGGAAGCTCCAATAAATAAAATCGTCTCAACTTTTCAAAAACTGATCTGATATTCTTTTATAGAAAAAAAAATCCAAAATTTTTTGGTTCCGTCGGATTTCTAAAAAAATTTGATCCGAGCGTCCGAGAAGTGTAACGTGGCTTCTTCCAAATAGGTGCATGTCCAGCAAATGCAACAGAACCACAAATTGTTAATAATGTCTCGTGCGACCCACCCCTTGACCGGGCTGGACTTGGCACGTTGGAGTTGGATTTTGGTCCTTAAGGCCCCTCTTGCCCGGGTAGAACATGAGCAGTGGAAGTGCTCTAAAGGGGCAACACAACATCCAGGCAATTTCCATAGGGGATCAAAAGAATTAGATAAAATAAATATGGGTTATTTGGAGTTACCTAGCTCATCTCACGTGCCAAGGAAGGACAATTAGAGGGAATCACACCCCTATAAAGAGAGAATAGAAGGGGGCAGAGAGAGCAAAGAGAGCAGAAAAATGGTGGCCACGCAGCAGAATTCAGGTGAGGGAGTGATCACAACCAATTATTGGTTCAAACCCAAGAAGGGTAGTGTTCTCCCAGCAGAGAGGAAGTCGGTGAAGACAATGGTTTTTGAATCCATGGTGAAATGGGTTGCCTCTGTTTTCTCCTGTGCGCTTCCTCCTCCTCCACCTCCCTCTGGAGCCTCAGCCAACCAACCCAACATGACCCCCATGGGCAAAGTAGCAAATTCCAAGAAATGCAAGAAGATAGCACCAGAGTGAATTGGAAAGGGTGACAAAGTTCAATCAAATCCATGCCTCTAAATATATATATTTTAGTTAATTTCCTATTCCATCCATCACAGTTTCTGTTTCTGTTTCTGTTTCTGTTTTCTTTCCTTGTTTTTGGTTGATTTGGAATTAGCTTCATCAGGATTGATGATCCATCAATTTGTCTGCTGTAGCTTTTAGTTTCAAATTCAATGAATGATCAAGCACTTTGAATTTCTCTTGCTTTTGAATTTCCCAGTTTCTGATTCCAACCAACTATATTTTTACAAGTTCGGAGCTTTTAACAGTTACTTAGATTTCCCAAACTGATCATATATGTTCGTTTGGAAGAGGAATGATGAATCCCAAAAAGTTAAAGATCCCACAATTTTCAAACCCGGTATTCAAAGACAGAAGAATGATGAATCAATATCAGATTCTTAATTCCCTTTTTTTTTCTTTTCTAGCTCACATTAATAATGAACATGAACCAAAAAGAAGAACAATCAAAGCATATGCAGAAGAACCGTAAGGTTGTACAAAGCAAACAACACAAACATGACAACAATTCTGGTTCAATAATTTATCATCTTAATTATATAAAGAAAATGATTTTAGCAGCACTAATTGTATACGTTAGTAAAACACAGTCAAAACGAGTAGCTATCAGCTTTTCATGCATGCAAGTTAATTTACCGTTTTAGCCTTCCAATTGTCTTAATTATAAAAAAAGAATTGCAAAGCCATTTCCAAATATAACATGTGGTCCTAAAAAACTTTTTCAAGTTCAACATGTTTTTTTTTTTTGTCTGAACCATGAGGTGGTCCTGGATGGGCCCCAACTATGTGTGTCACCTTTAAGCCTTAACCACAACCCAGACTAATCCTCACTCACACCGGGTCGGTCCATAAAGGGTAAAGTGTTGGCCAAAGTGGTGACTCCGTACGAGAGCAGGGATCGAACCCCTGACCTCTCTTAAGGAATGAGAGTGCCGAACCACTCACACCAACCACCTTGGTTTAGTTCAACATGTTTTTAGGTTTAACACAATCAATTTGTTTTTAAACTAGCACACATTAAAAGGAGAAACTATCTATACAGATGAAAAATTATTATGTGTTATAATTAGGGCTCATATGTGTTGATATGACATGCCGATTCAACTTGATTTGACACGAATATGACACGATTTGCTAATATAAATAGTAAACATATTAGATTAGTATTACATGAATTATTTAACTTTTTATTTATTTATGCATTGTATGAACAACTGCACAATTACAAGGCATATTTCTGTATGACTTTGTGGGTATTTATGATTAATCAAGTTAGTATATACAAAAAATAAAATTTTAAATTTTTTTAAAAAAAGGCTACAAAACTTTTGGCTTCGATTGTAACGAAAGGCCAAGTCAATAAAACTATTCATAGTCAACAGACGGAGCAGAAGAGCCAGAGCCAAAGACCCAAAATGAAAAATACCACATGACATGTTAAAGTTGAGATAATGTTCTTAGAGCTTCCTAAGGATGATTTTGCCTTCTTATAATGGAGAATTTCTGAAGACAGAAGACAGAAGGGGAAAAAGGTAAAGATGCTGCCAATCTTTGAAGACGATTTGGTCATTTCCATAATTCAAGGGTCCATCTGTGTTCACACGTGAGAGTGAGATTTAAATTTGGGAACTCGATTTCAACATTAAAAATAAAAGTACCACTAGACTATGAGTATGAAGTAATTGGTCTCTCATGCTTTGTATTAGTTATTACCCAAACTCATTAATGCAATTTGATTACACAGTGCAAACTAGGATCAAGGGAACGATTTTAGAAATTGAGGAATGATGAATCCCAAAACATTAAGGGGGGTGTATTCAATTAGGATTATAAAGCATTTAAAAAGATTTTAAAAATCCGGGTGTATTCAATTTGGATTTATATAAACTTTTAAAAAGTCTATAACAATTTGGGTGTATTCAATCTAGACTTGTTTGAACTTTTAAAATGTCCATTTAAATGTGGGTGTATTCAATTAGGACTTGGAAAAAGTCCATTTAAATTTACCTGTATTCAAAAGGAGATAGATTTGGAAGGATTTAATTAAGTGTTGGAGTTTGGAGAATTTGTAGGGTTTAGGTATAAATAATAAAGGCCAACATAAGTCCAACCTCCACCCCAAAGATTTCAGACGACGTATTCTTTTTTTCTCTCTGCAGAAGACGAACCACTCTCCAAAGGTACGCTCTCTCAACATTCTTGTTGGTTTTCCTTCTTCCACGTTTTTTCTTGTTTGTTACTATTCATTGATGATTATTGTTTGTTACTGTTCGTATAAAATTGTGATCTCAAAATAATTTGTTGCGGGAAAGAATGGTTCCCCAAGGTGAGGCATGGCAAAGGTAGAGCTGTCCTGATTACGGAGGCAGCATAATTGCCTCTAATTCTTATGTTGCATGCAAATTTCTCTTACCAAATATATGACGAAATAAATATATGGTATATCAACAATAATTCACCTGATAAGCTGTTCAGGTTTTTCCTTTATCAGGTTTTTTCTTTTCTTGTTTTGTCGAGAGACTTATTAGGTTTGGTGAATGGGGGTGAATGACGACGATGGAGAGCTTGATTTTTTGTTGGCTTGATTTTTATGTGTTGGTATATCATAATCGTCTGTTGTTATCCTAGACCAGAGCATGAAGGGAATGGTAGCCAATATGAGACATGTATGGACAGAATTAGTTTTAGCATTGCTGAAATTGCTACCGACTTCAAGGGAGTCCATAGCCTATTGGAAAAAAGGGAAAAAGACAGGGAGAGGCAGAGTTATATATGGGATGCCATTAAGGAGACCCCAAATGTGGATGAACGTGCTCGTTATAAAGCCCTTTCTTTGTTGAATACTACTACAAAGAAGGAAGCATTTTTGTTGATGTCCCCTGAAGAGCGCTCAAGTTGGATATCCTACAATTTGGAATGATTGGTTTTTGGGAATGAGTGGGTTTTGGGGATGAGTGGTTTTTTGCTTGATAATGCATTAGGATTTATCAAACAGTATGTTTAAATACTCTATTTTTATTTATTTTGCGTATGACATATTGACTTTTTATTAAATTGATGATGAACTAGTTTTTATTATATTGATGATGAAATAGCTTTGTTGGGTTGTAATATGTGCTTGGTTATTGTTTTTATTCCAGGTTCTAAATTAGGCTACTTGTTATTGGGTGTTGATGATAGGTTTCCTATTGTTATTTGGAAGAGCATGACGGTTGCATGATAGCTTTTCCTATTGTCTGTCATTACTCTTGGTCTTTTGAGTCCTTTTCTTGAGTTGGGCATGAACCCAAAAGAAATTCTAAATTATAAGATCAGATTTCAATTTTTTTTTCAGGTAGTCGAATATCAACTTATATAATGGAGGAAGAACAAATTGAAAGGCAAGAAATTGAGAGGGAAGAAGAACTTTATGAAATCATTAGGTATTTATTAATGGCAATCCAAGCAGTAGCTCATGCGTTGAATGAGTTTATGATTATCATGCATAGTGAAAATGTTGAACGTCCATTAACTCGGCGAACAGTTACTAGGAAAGGATATAACTATATACATAATGCTTTGAGTGAGGATCCTGAGCATTTCCGACAAATGTATAGAATGTATCCAAATGTGTTTCACAAGTTGTGCAGTATTATTAGAGAAAAAACACTGCTACAAGATACAAGGTTCATTTGTGTAGAAGAAATGCTTGCGATATTTTTGCGTGTTGTGGGTCAAAATAACAGATTTTCTATAATACGTGACACATTTGGTCGATCCCACTTCAGTGCTAGTAGAAGTTTTAACAAAGTTTTAAAGGCTTTGAACACATTAGCACCAGAGATGTTAGTCAAACCTGGATCTGCAGTGCCAGCCAAAATAAGGGAAAGTACAAGGTTTTACCCTTACTTTAAGGTAAGTGTTGTCTTGTGCATCTTGTTTACTTTTATATAATATTTTTAAAATCAAGATATAAACTTTGAATTTATTTCAGGATTGCATCGGAGCGATCGATGGCACACATATTCCAGCAATGGTAACAGGAGTTGACGTAAGCAGCTATCGTAATCGTCACGGAACAATATCACAAAATGTATTAGCAGCTTGTAACTTTGATTTAGAATTCATATATGTGCTTAGTGGGTGGGAGGGCTCAGCTCATGATTCAAGAGTACTAAATGATGCTTTAACAAGGAGGAATGGACTTAAAGTGCCACAAGGTATTTTCGTTTTTCTTTTTTCTTTTTTCATTAACTGTTTACATTAGATCATACATTGGATACTAAAATATGTGTATTCAATTATCAGGTAAATATTTCTTAGTGGATTGTGGATTTCCAAATCGACGCCAATTTTTGGCTCCATTTCGAGGTGTTCGATATCATCTCCAAGAGTTTGCAGGTCAAGGTCGTGACCCTGCAAATGAAGTTGAGTTGTTCAATCTTCGTCATGCGTCCTTGAGGAATGTCATTGAGAGGATATTTGGTATATTTAAATCACAATTTACAATTTTCAGGTCCTCACCTCCATTCCCATGTAGACACAAATAGAGCTAGTGTTAGCTTGTGTTGGACTACACAACTTTCTTCGAAAGGAATGTCGATCAGACGAGTTTCCTATTGAATTGGAGAACGAATCTTCATCTTCATCATTACCAGTTAATGAAGGAGATCCTGAACTAGTTTTCCAAACACAAGAACAACAACGAGCACATGCTAATGAATGGAGGGTTGGTATAGCTTTGAACATGTGGAGAGATATTGGCCACAATGACACCAATGAGAATTAACGATAACGAATGAATGTTGCATATTTTTCTTTCAGCGTTGCTTTCAAACTTGTTATAAATTTGTCACTATACTTTCATGAACGCCAGTTACTTTGAATTTCTTATAATATTTGCTTTTTGTGTACCTTTTGGACTGTGTGTCATAAATGCAAAATGCAATATGAGTATTTCAGAATTTGAGGATCTGAGATCAAGGTGTTAGCAAACATTGCCATCTGTGTGTGACTAATTAAATAATGTTACATTCAGTGATTGTACTTTGTATGTTTATACACAGGTGTTTGAATTCTTATTCTTATCTACAAGTTAAGTCGCCGAGAAAAATATCATACTTTGAATTCAAACCCTCCACTGACAAATCACAAAGGCTTGTGGTGTGGGTTGCCTGTGTTGACCAGTCATATAAATCTCACAGTAAAGAAAAATATATTGTCTATAAGAACTCAACAAGTAGCAAAGTATTAACAATCTCAGAATCAGAAGCCAAGCAAACACAGTCAGTGATTCTGAATTCTAATGGAGCAAAGCAGAGGCCTGAGATTGATACTTCTCCCACTGCCACTTCAAGGCCATATAAACCCCATGCTAGAACTGGGCAACCTTCTTCACTCCAAAGGCTTCTCCATAACCATCGTCCAGACCAAGTTCAACTCTCACAACCCTTCAAGCCACCCACACTTCACCTTCCACTCAATCCCTGTCGACTTATCTGAATATGAGGCCTCTGTAACAAAAGTGATAATGTCCATGCAAATTGATCTGAATCTATAACAAAAGTTCATATAAAAGTATGGAAGTCTATAATAAAAATTTATGCAAGTTTATTAAAAATTCCAGTAAAACCTATAGGAGTTATAAAATTCTAGGAAATCTGTCACTTAAAAAAAATCTTTCAAAATCTTATACAAACCTAATTGAATACACCCCCCTAAAGTAAAGACCCCACAATTTTCAAACCCCAGTTAGTATATACAAAAAATAAAGCTTTTTTATTCCACAACTGAGGGACCCCCATATGGTGTTTCAAGTCAACTGCCCACGATCTTCCCTTGCAAATTGCAAGCCTTTGGCCTTTTCACCGGTTGCATCGCCGTATAACTATATTAACGACGAAGACGTTGCAGTTGTTAGTAGCTTAGCACATCATATTGACATGGTTTGAACCCGGACCCGAGATTAAACCCCAGTATAGGATATAGGCCCTCTTCTCTTTTTGGGTCTGCTAGGCCCTCTAATATTTTAGCCCGGCCAGTCATAATCACAAATCCCTTTTATTTTCTTGAAATAAAAGATAAAGCCTAAGAAATGAAAACAAAACCCACACCCCCGTTTTCTTTGTAACATGTTTACAAATCCCTTTTGTTTGTATCAAAATTGTAACATGTTTACAAGTTTTCTTTAAAAGGTTAGGTTGTTGTCATCATATACATGCCAGCTAAGAAGTCAAATTTGAAACATCAACCTCAAGCTTCTGGAGATTTTATCTTCATTTGTTGTTGGGTCAATTAGCGTCAAAAGCAGCCAGAATTACCCACATTTACAAAAATGCCATCAGTTTTGTTGCTGAGAGGGTGGAAAAAAATATCTAGAGGGGGAAGACCGTTTTGATGTCATCAGAAGACAAAAGCAAAATACAATGACTGTTAAAAACTGAAAACCAGAGGGACTGAGAGTGACACCTTTCCCTCTCACTTACCACTTAAATACGTGTAAATATGGCACGTACCAAAAATACATGTGGAAATAAAATATTCTTGTATTGTAATTAACGACTACACTCAAAGGCGGAACTACTCTTATGACATTTTGTACAAATTTGGGATAAATGAAATTTTTAGACATTACACCTCATTTTACAAAAATTAGAAGACATTATTAGCATATCATGTCATCCAAACAGATTATACTTCTACAGTCTACAGAGCCATGTATATAACACGTGTCACAAGGCAGATTGGTTCCATTAGATTGCTTATTGCCCAAGGCTCCATTTGATTGGCTGAAGCTTAACACATTTACAAAAATGCCATCAGTTCACAACACAGCCAAAATCCCAACTTACATAAAAGGAGATTCGGGCCTTTCTTTTGGCCCTCTCTTTTACCCAACACTTAAAACAAGAGAGGGTGGTGGTGAGAATTGAGAAATCAAACAAGAGGCAGCAGAAAAATGGTGGCCGAGAAGATGACAAACAAGACAGAGCAGCAGCTGGTGGTTGAGGAAGCGATCAGAGGCAAGCCCAAGGGAGAGGCTAATTGGTTCAAACCAAAGAAGGGTAGTGTTTTTCCTGCAAGGAGAAAGTTGGTGAAGACTATGGCTTTTGATGCCATAGTGAAATGGGTGGGCTCTGTTTTCTGCCATGGAGCCTCAGCCGCCACCACCATGGCCAAAAGCCCCTGCCTTTCACAACCCAGAATGCCAAATTCCAAGAAATGCAAGCGGATAATTCCGTTGTGAGATGGAAATTCGAATCAAATCCATGCCTTGAAAGATCCCACACCCACATACTCACTTTATTCTTCTATTTTGTTTTTGCCCTTTTTTTGCTTTCTCTTTTGGATTCAACAGGATGCAGGATCCATCAATTTTTTTTTCTTTTTTCGCTTTTTTTAATATATGTCGAGGTTTGAAAGGGAGAGGGGTGGTGCTATTGGGGTTTAACGTGAAACCACTGATCTAAAGACAAATGCTCTTACCACTGAACTATGTACTCGTTCAAGTGTATCTTTTTGCTCTTAGTTTTGATGAATTATGAAGCACTTTGAGTTTTTTGCTTCAAAATCTCTATTGTTCACATAGTTTGATATGACAAAATGATCATGAGTTTGTATGGAAGAGGAATGAAACCCATATGCATGCCCCATAGCTGATCATAGCCAAAACAGTTGAGGGCCCCACAAACCTCATATTTCAAAGAGAGGAGAATGATGAATCAATCAATATCAGATTCTTTCTTCGTTTATCAATATCAGATTCTTAATTCTTATGTCAAAAGGTTTCCCAAAAAAATTCCTATGCCAAAAGGAACTAACGGCAAAAAACAGAAAGGCGGACACTTAAAGCTTTGGTTCAATTTAATTTATCATCTTAATTTTAAATGAAAATGATTTAAGCAACACTAATCATGCATGATTTGCCGTGTTTAATTACTAATAACTAGTGTTGCTTTGATTTAAATGTAAGGTAATTTACCATAACCCACCCTTCCAAATGTCTTAATTATAGTATCAGAAATGGAAAAAAAAAAAAAAAAAAAAGTTCAAGTGGGTCTTTCATTACAGACAAGGAATTAGAATATTATCATTCTTATTAGGAGAAACTACTGAGGCTTTCTCTCCAGGTCGAGGGGTGAGACAAAGGGACCCCTTTCTCCGTATCTGTTTGTTCTTTGTTTGGAAAAGCTGACCCATCTGATTAGTGATGGCACATGCAAGACTGTAACAAAGCACTTTAGTTAGAACAATTTCTCCTCTCTTTCTGTTGTCCCAGTTTTTTCATTTTGATTGTTGTTGGAGCTTGGTACTGTGATTTTGTTTTTATTGGAAATTGGGAAATAAAACAGTGCAAACAACTGCATTTACGGCATGTTTATTTATCATGAAATAAAAAATTATGTGAATTTCACGTTAATCAAATACTTTTAAAATCAGGAATGAGATTAATTAGGGAAAGTTGTTTATTCAATTCCAGTTCATTGATATCCCTATCTAAGTTTCTCGATTCATAACTTCTCTCGATAAGTAAACATGATTAATATTCTTTTTATTTCAAAAAAATTCAATTTACCAAAAAAGCGAGCCAAGCCCAAAGAATAAGTACGGAAATAATCAAATTAATTGCAATCAAGTCTCAACAAAGCCAGCCACCTATGGATTTGGCCATTATCGAAGCGTAACTAGGAAGCTCCAATAAAATCATCTGAACTTTTCAAAAACTCTGATATATATTCTTTTTCCATTTGTGTCTGTTTGGTGTGTGGACTGAAAAGGTTTAATCAACTTTGTGAACCAGAGACAACCATAAACCTCCCTCATCACTTTTGTGAGCACCTTTTGCTTTTTGACGAGACTTTGGGGTTTGGTAGTTACACTGTTGCAATCAGCCTCATGCCATAACAGAACACTCGGGATCTTCCATGGAAGAAACTCTCTCTGTTATGGCAACACCAGAGAATGATCCGATCCATTCAAATTAATCATAATAGTATATAAACAATACTTAAATTCTGAATTGAAAACTCTAAATTGAACACGTTTTATAATTTGATTGTATTTGTAACAATGTGGTGTTACCGACGATGAAAATTCGTGATAATGGGTCGTATTCTTGTCGTATCATTTTTCGATCATGTTAAAAACTAACCAATAGCTTGACCATTTTTAATTATGCTGTGTTCAGATTGATCTGTGAAATGTGAACGAAATTCTTTTAACACTAGGTTTGCTTTACTACTAAACCAAAACTCTTGCTGTGTTCAGATTGATTATAAAATAAAAGTTCACTTAATTATAAAATACTCACAAATCAGAAAGTAGTAGCTCAAAAATTAGATTTTATTCTACTCCTAATTAGACGGTTGTTTACTCACTGGCCACATGCCACTTTTAAAGATGCCTAAAGACCGACCCCAAAAGCTAAACCCTCTCCCATTAAAATCCCACAACACAAACCTCTAATCTTTCTGCTTTTCCAGTGCATGCATAAAATAAAACCCAACCTTAGATTGGCCATTTCAATAGAATCTAAGTCTTAGCTCGTATAAGGTTGCTCACAACACCACACCCAGTATCGTGTAGAGGTGTCAAAGCAAAACTGCCAATGGTGGCCCAATATATCCCTCCCACCCTAGAATCTCATTTCTCCACCGTTTAAAATGAAATTGCCTTTTTTAACTTTAACCCAAGCCAAAATTTGTACAAGTTATTTGTGTCAAAGGCTACCCCAATGATGTCAACAGGGGTCTAACCAAATGTAAAAAGATTTCGACTTACAAATCAATATTTTCAAGTTCAAACTTTCATA